TAGGTTATAATATGTCTATCTCAATTTTAAAAAATATAAATTTTTTCCTAATTTTTAAATTAAATTTTATTTTCTTTACCAAGAAATGAGGATAACTTTGTATTTGTAAAACTTTCGTCGCGAAATATTTTATACGTTATAGAGATTGCGATTTTGAATATTTGAAATATTTTCTAGAAATTTTATACCAAGGGTTTTGGAATTTCTATTTTTTTATTAAATAAAAAATAATATGGACTCTAAAAAATAGTGTTGTGGTATGATTAAAATCTTAAAACATGGTTCTACATAATTTTTGATAATTTGGTTATATTTTGAAACAATAAGTATTTTATCATCAAAATTTTATGTAGCCAATCATTATAGAAAAAATTAAAATTTTTATATGGACTCAATTATGCTTTAATTCCTACCATATGATGAAATGTATGCTCATGATTGCACTCAGTGTATTATGGCTGAATTAAAAAGTTTTGGACGTGAAAGTAGCAAGATATTTAGTGCATATAAGGCATATTCTTGTGGCAAAATGTCGTGTTTTGGTGCCTATATACATGTTCTAGTGCTATAAACACATTAGGAGTCATAAGGGGCAGAAATACTTTGAGATTTTTTTTCTGTGACTGTGAAAATATATTATGTTACGTTCTTTGATATGAATTTCAGTTTAATGACTGCTCGATATTATTACCTGAGTTTTTGAATAACTGTTATGTTTTTATAAGTTTGCTCACCATAGTAATTTAGTATACCGTATTTAAATATTTTAGAAAATATTTAATAAAATAAATATTTAGAAAATTAGATCAATGTTTGTGGCATGCTGAGCTATTTTAGCATACTATAGTTTTACATTATAATTTTCAAGATTTGGAAAAGGGAAGGATCCTTTTGATTAACAACTCATAATCTTATTTGAGTCTATAGGTATTTCTTTTATTAATTTTTGTAGAGTCATCGCTAGTTTATTACATTGAAAGACTTCTCAAGTTTTGGAAGAAAATGAAGTTATTTTTTATTCTTCTTTCCCTTAATTACATTGAACAAAGTTCATCTATGCAAATTAATTTAGGATTGGTTTAGAGAAGCTCTCCTATATACTTATATTTGATCATTCTATAAATGGTGGCAACATATAAAATATTCATTAAACCTTATCATTATTCAATTTATGATTGATTGGAGAAGTGTATAAATGAATGCATTCTTAAGATTATTTCACTAGTGGGCTTTGGGAAGCTCTTATATGAATGTTTGTGCTCATAGCGATATGCATATTCCAAATTTCAACAATGTGAACAAACTCTAATGGTAATCTTTCTATAATTCATTAATTACATAGAGTTGTTGGAAAGTTCATGGTTCATTCAGAGATCGATATATCTATGCCATTCCCTTCAAATGTCATATCTACATATTCAATGAGAATGATGATAGCTATACTGAAAGGATATGAGTTGCTGGTGAGAAGTAATTTGCAATTGCTTGTTTCATTCAATCTTGTATTTAACATAAACCTTTAAAAGTAGTGCTTCATATCTATTAGTTCTTGTGTGGAGTTTATATGAATTTTGAAATGGAGAATGTTATTAAAAATGAAATTCTTTGAGATGGTTTATATATTTATATTCATTGCTTTTATTTAGGAATTAGTATTCACTCTTTTGTTTATGTTGGGAAGGAATATATGCATGTGTGAACAATGCTAGCTATGAGATATTGAGAGCTATCATATATATAAAAGTTTTGCAATCAAACAACATTTGTTAATTTTAATAATTATAAGAACCATATGCAATTTGATATTCTCGTACTTATGCATAGTTGAATGGTTGCATTTCCTCTATTATGTGTATATCAACATTAACAAAGCATCACATTTGTGATTTCTTGCAACACAATTTTGCAAAACTCTTCATACCATCCATGCATAATTTCATACTTCAATTTAAATGTACACATAACTTGATATGTTACAATTACTTGCTTATGTCATTCACTTACTTTTTTTTGTTACTTGCGAGGAACTTATCTTTTGCGCACGTGTTGGTTTGTGAGTCGTGATTTCCTAGGCCTCAGGAGAGGCCTCTTCATTTTGTTGCTCTCAGGTCAGGTATAATGTATGTAACTTATAAAGACCTCATCTATTGTTGTGATGAACAAGTTATACTTGCATAGACACTTTGGACCTATTTTTTATTTTCATCCAATGATGTATGGTAAGATGTGTTAAACATTGGTCATAGGTTAGTGCATTAACGAAGCCTTGGCCTTATTGGCTAAGTTTTGCCCTCTCTGTGAACATTAGAGACATTCATATGGTCGCCTAGGCTAATAATGTAGGTCACCTATTTATGCCATATAACATTATTTTTTTTACATGAAGCAGGCCTTGTTGAGATGTTTTCTTTGGATTTTAAAATACTTAAATAATTCTAAAAATCACATCTTTAATGATTTTGGGCTTTTAAATATTATTTTTATTAATATAATTAAGAATGTGAAACTAAAAAATATATATATAAAATCTGGGCTTTGGCATGTTAGGTTGATCTTTATATTTGTTTTATATTGTATGTCCCCTTATAGGTGATAGATTCAGCTCTATTATTTCAACCTAGTATAAAATCTATGTTTGAAGTTCATTTGCTACAAGTAATAAATAAAAAATATAAGAATTATTAAAATAAATTAATCGAACCAATTAATGGAATATCATTAATAAACTCCTAATCAATCCTAAAATGGGTAATGAATCAATTAAAATAGCAATCACATATCAAAAAATAATTACATAATAAACAAAATCAATTAAATAATAAGGTGATTATATATTGGGCAGCTCAAGCTTATTAAGTTAACTCCAAAGAGGATAAAATAAACCTCACATCCCTAATGTAAATAAAGATAATTGCCCCTTCACTTAAATAATTAGTTGATAAATCAATATTCAACCAATTAAATGAATCTAAATCTATAAGCTAAGTTAAATATAAATAAAAAAAAATGATTGTGGAATAACTCGGGTCTATAAGACAATTAAGTTAGGCTCAAGGATGGTGAAATAAACCTTATGGCATTGGTTTAACTAAGGCATTTTTTATTCAACCTAAATAATCACTAATAAGCTATTAATAAATTGAAGCTTTTATAACCTCTATTATATTCAATTTGGAGAATAAATATGTGTCAAACTCATAAGGCTTTAATGGTTTAAAAGATGTTTAATAAAATCTAATGTATAAATATTTTCTTTTATATCACATATTCCATTAATGAAGTTTATAGGTTGGACTATCTTGAGTTGCGAGGACTTGGCCTACGGGCCCATTATGAAAATGCCATGAATGGATATAGATTTTAAATCATAAACCTCATAAGAAGAAAAGAAAAAAAAATATTTTAAAAGTATTTTAAATATGACATATGTGGTGTTGGAGAAGCAAATGAGCTTCAAGTTAAACTCTAGTGTTTTGATTTATGTCAGATTTGTGTTTATCTCTGTGTCCTCTTCCTTAGTATATGTAAGGTACATAGGCTAGATTATCTTGAGATAAGAGGCTACGTGTCCTAAGGAGACTTTGGTCATCGTGCTGTTGTGACAATGCCACGTAACCTCACAAGTTAAGGGACAAAGGTCTAAAAATCTACACAAATTATGTTTGAACCTTGTTAAGCCATATAGGAATCATATTCCTATATTGTTTGAATCATATTCTAATCATATTTGAACCAAGCTAAATTATATTAGAACTTTGCTTGAACCTTATTCCAATTATATTATAACTTCTTCTAACATTGTTGGAACTTTATTCTAATCATATTTGAACCTTATTAAACTTTGTTTGAGCTAACACTGAATTTTTTCAAGTCATTTTAAAATTTTATTTGAATTTTGCTCAAAGTATGAATAAAATTGTAATTTTATTTGAGCAATAGTTGATCTGAATTTAAATAAATTATTTTTGTATGGGTGATGTGATGTCTAATGTGAGCTTAGACTGAGTTTTTTTTTTTTGTTTTGAACTCCATACTTAGTCTTTGCTTCTCCTCATCGGCTCACCATGCTTGGACCAAATTCTAGTTAGGGGGTGTCAATTTATGACACGACCCGAAATCTGACTTGAACCCGACTAGAAAATTCTTGTTTTGGGTTGACCCGTTTGACAAATGGATCAGATTCAGGTTTTATATTTTGATCCATTTGAAAAATTGGGTCGTGTCCGAGTCAGCCTCCTTACTCGAAATGGACCCCAAAAATACTTGCTGGCACCTCCCGCTCGTGTCTTGCCTACATCTCCAGTCCAAACCACTTAGACTGAGTTTTTTGTTTTGTTTTGTTTTGAAGCCCATACTTAGTCTATGATTCTCCTCATCGGCTCACCATGCTTGGACCTAATTCTTGTTAGGGGGTGTCAATTTATGACACGCCCTGAAACCTGACTTGAACCCGACTAGAAAATTCTTGTTTCGCGTTGACCCGTTTAACAAATGGATCAGATTCAGGTTTTATATTTTGATCCATTTGAAAAATTGGGTCGTGTCCAAGTCAGCCTCCTTACCCGAAATGGACCCAAAAAATACTCGTTGGCAACTCCCGCTCGTGTCCTGCCTACATCTCCAGTCCAAACCACGTCCCACCCACTTTTGCCCGCATTGCGTTCGTGTGACTGCATCAACCCGCATCACGTCCCGCTTGCTCCTGCCCGCATTGCGTCTTCATGAGTCCGTGACTGCATCCTGCCCCCAGCTGTGCTCCAGCTCGCACGCCGCACATGTCCTGATCTAGCTCGTAGTGCATGACCACGTCCAACCCACAACGCGTGACTACGTACAGCCTGGCCGCGCTCGCACTCGGGCTTGACCGCTCTTAATGTCACCTTCTCTACGGGTCCGCATGTCGAGGTGATCCAAATTTGGGGCAGGGTTAGGTATGTTTAGATTTCTGACCCATTTGTGCAATTGGGTCAAATTTGAGTTACACTCCAGGTAATAACTTCGGGTTAGACTTCTGTCCACCCCCTACTTCTACTTCTACTCCACCTTTTTGCCAGGTTGAGCCCATGGCGGATTCGGCGAAGCTCCAACTCTACTCATACTGGCGGAGCTCTTCCTCACATCGTGTCCGCATCGTACTGAATCTTAAAGGTCTCTAAAAACTAACAAGGATAAAAACCCTAAGTTGACAAGTTTCAACTGATGAGGCTTCTTTCTTCCCCTGTAGAATATCGCGTGCTTTGTTTTTGGATCGTCCCTAATTGCTTATTCCTCTGTTTGATAGGGTTGGAGTATGAGTACAAGCCCGTTAACCTTTTAAAGAATGAGCAGTCGACTCCTGGTCTGAAACAGACGTTTTTCTTGTTTTTCATCATGCATTATGTATCACAGACCTATCATTTATTTATTTCTGTAATTAGTTTTGCTATTGAATTGCAGAGTTTGCTAAGTTGAATCCACTTAAATACGTTCCGGTGCTGGTAGATGGGGATGCCGTGATAGCCGACTCTTTTGTGATTACATTGGTGAGTTCTTCCAAATATCAACATCTAGGCCAGTTTTGGTGCAAAAAATTTCATGGCTCTTGACTTTTGAGGCATGGCAGTAAAAATTTCGCGTCTGAGGTGAATACTGTTCTGCTTTCTTTTGTCTAGTATTTGGAAGACAAATATCCCGAGCATCCTCTCCTGCCCAAGGATCTGAAGAATAAAGCACTCAATCTTCAGGTAAACTGGGAATAACTGACTTTATAATGTCTATTCAGGTTGCTGTAGTTATGGGTTTGGTTTCCAAGTAATGGTTTTTGTTTTCAGTAAGGCAGTAGGTAATTTTCAATTGTTGGCAACTTGTCCAACATTTGGAAATTGGAGATGCCAATGCTCAGGGAAACAAAAATTTTAACGACTTGGTATTTGTATATTTGTTGTGTTCGGATGAGTTTCCGGAAAATTCCATCTTTAGCACAAGTCTTCTTTCTACACACAACAAAAAAATGTTGAACCTTCCTAAATGAATGATTAGGCGGGAAGACTCTGTTGCCTAAATCTGTGAATAAATTTGGAGGCAAGAGAAAGGACATAAATAAGCTCAATAGTTTTTTTAGAGTGTTAGATGGTGTTAAGACCTCTCTCATATTTATGGGCACTTGGATAAAGGATGGTTTTTAACTTGATAGAATATATGTTGGTTAAATATGTTAACTCATCTTTGATATTTGTATTGGATCAAAATGCCTCTTGATTCTTGAATGAGGGCATTTTTTTACTCTGGTCAATCAGAACTTAGATAACAGGGTCATGTCAATTTTGAGATTTACATTTCATTGTGAGCCATTATTCTTCGATAATGATGGATAGATTGATGGAGGCCTTAGATCTCAAGATTAATGATGTTGTAGATTTGAATCATACCATTAAATCTATTGATGCTTTGAGATTTGTGTTGATTGCTCTCTTGTGGTGGTATTCTTGTAGTTTGTCCCTATTTTACATTTTTGGTATTGTTGTTGGATGGTCCTTTGACCTACATTTGACCCTTGCATTTCTCTGGTATTTGAGGGAATTTCTGATGATGAGCTTCAAGTGTCTCATCAACAATGATTGGGATTTAATAAATTTAAGAAGTACATGATAGGATTGAGTACTGTCTCTTATTAGGCCAGAGAGAAATGGTCCTAGGTGATGACCCCTAATAAAAGCTCATGTAGGAACTTGGGTCAATTACTAAAATTTAGAAGGCTTTATAGGTGCAGCATTGGAGAAAATCCTAGGGTGATTCCCCCACTCTATTGACAGATAAAAATGATCCTTAATAATGCATTAGTTGGAAATGAGTTGGTTGGCAAAGAGCCATACCAATTCATTGAAGCCCCTTTTCAAGCGTCATAGGAGTGAGTATAACCTTGAACTTGCTTGCTTCTTTTATTATGGTTGGAAAGACTTGGCATTGAGTTGGGTCAATGGTTCGAGAGATTCACATGATTGTTCTAAAATGTTTGATGTGCTCATAGGGATCAATGGCCCTTAGTACGGAGCTATGATTGACATTTTCGAGAGATTCACATGATTGTTCTAAAATGTTTGATGTGCTCATAGGGATCGATGGCCCTTAGTACGGAGCTATGATTGACATTTTGAATCCATGTGGATTATTGTGATAGAGAATTTGATCAGTGAAGGGAGCTCTTTCATCTAAGTTTCATCATTAGGGGGATTATTCTTACTCTCTATGAATTCCTCTTCAAAAGGTCATTGGAGTTCTTGACAAATATGCTCATGATGGACTAGATTGACAGGAGGAGAATGTAGCATATGAACTTGCAGTTTTTGGGATATCTCTATGTTGGTTGAATGTTGTAGAGTGGATGGTCCTGTTGAAGTCCTGATGGGTTCGATAGCCTTGAATGTTGTTTGGAGGATGACCTCCATTATTTGTCTCATGATGATGATATCTTACCTTATCAATTCATGGATGAGACTCCATTAGGGGTGTTGTTGTTTAGCAACGTAATTCATGAAGCTAAATCATTTCATCCTATCCTTCTTTCTTGTATCAAACTCCATCCTCGAGGGAGTGACCATATTTTCCTGTAGATTCTGATATCTTCCCATGATTTTCATGGTGATATGAGCTTATTGAAGGATCTTGTTGTTTGGAATTTGAATATGGTACCCAACTTGGGAATTTGTTGAGAGGATTCATTTAGTGTTGTGCTTGCTTTCTTTTTGAGCTTTGATGATTGAAGATTTTTAGAAGATTAAAAATTGAGAATAATCGAACTTTCAATTATTATATGGGATGATTGATGATTTCATAAGGTGCATTCCAATTACCAAGCATAGGTATGTTTCCTATGATCATTCCCGAACTATTGCATGTTGAAAATAGTCTTGAATGCTGATTAAGTTTTTTTTGAAAGATATCATATCTAACACGCCTTGCTTCACGTATAGTATACACATACAACCAAAAATTGATGAGCTTGCTCTGAGGAATGATTCCCTGGGAAGATACATTGATGCCTAAGTTAGTGAATGAAATTAAAAGGCAAGTGAAAGGATTAAAAGCAACTCAGTAAAACTTTTTCGAAGTGTCAGGTGGTAAGATAATGCTTACCACTCCCTTGGGGTATTTATTGACATTTGAATGAAGGGTGTTTTAATATTTTGTGGAACATATGATGGATAAATGTGTCACCATCGGTTATATGATGGATAAATGTGTCACCATCGGTTTTAGATTTGTGACGGATTAAAATGACTTTTAATCAAGAGCATTTTGGTCCTTCGATCAATTAGAGGTTGGAACCATGCCATGTTGACTTTGAGATTTGTGTTAGACCAACATGCTCATAGTAATAATGGATGAATCCATACAGATATAGGCCTTAAGATAGTGTTTTTGGAGACATGAATCATACAATTAAGTCTATGTTAATTGGCTTTGAGATTATCACTAATGATGGTTTTAATTGGATTGTTAGATGCATGTTGAAACCCTAAGATCAGTATTTCCATAAGCTTGATTGTAGGGTTGACAAAAATCTTGATTTGATATGGCCATATATATCAATGGCGCAAAATGGACCGCGCCATGGCATACGATGTAGCGCGGTGCATTAAAATAGCGTGTTCTATTGTGCCAGGCATGGGTAATGACACATGGCGTAAGGTGCAAATGGCGCGCGCAACATGTTATAAATTTCAAATTATAAATTGTAATTAGTTTTTTTAAGATTTATTTATTAATATCACAATTAATTATTAACTAATTAATCATCAAACTAATAAAATATCAAAAAATAAAGGATTGAACTTTTTTGTAGGATTTAAGCTATCATTTTTCTATTTGGCGGGATATATATTAAATTATGCTTAAATTAATTGATGTAAGTTTCTGTAGGATTTAAAATTGTTATTTTTGTTGTTTGATAGGATAATTATGCTTAAATTTTGCTTTCATCAACCTATTGTTTACTATTTAATGGTATTTAATAGTAATAAATATATATTTTAATTATTTTATATATTTTAATTATTTTATATTATATGTCATGTTTAAAATAGCGCATGCCACGTCGTGAGCTATGCTCCATGGCTCCACGGGAAATTTTGTGCCTTACTATAAAATATATATATTGAGTTGATTGAACTTTAACAAAAGACTATCACAGTATGATTGATTTGAGAAGGCACAATCAAGGATTTAGAGCTGAAGTTCCAAATACATACATGTCTATTAGTGTAATGAGTTCATACTGTGAATGACTTAATCGTCAACCATCATTCTATGCAAGTTCATAAATCAATCATCCATCATGTACCATCATTCTATGCAAGTCCATAAATCAATCATCCGTCATGTACCACAAGAGACATGTCATCTGTTATTTTGTCCTAGTAATAGTCTTTTGTTATTTTTATGCTCTTATGTGTATCTTAATAATTCCCCCCACACATGAGAATCCTCCACATTATTCATCATGCCTCCTCAAATGGAAGCATTTCAACACCAGTGAGTGTAATGCACCAAAATACTAGTCAATCCTCAACGCTTCTGTAAGGGCATTTTGGCTTTTGAACTTTGCTCGACAATGCTAGAAACTACCGAGACCCAGCTATGGAGAGCTGTAAAAAGCATATTACACTTGATCCCAATTCCCGACTGAACCATTTGTACTATTACCACTTGTTAAGAGGGCAATATTAAGGATCCAAATTAAGTCTAAAACACTAATTAATTGACACAATCTACTTAAAATTTAAAGTTAATAGGTAAGTGCCATTACTTTCAACCTATGTTGCACCGATACGGATACCGCGACACGGATACGACACGATACGGATACGGGACACGTCAATTCTTAAAAATACAGGATACGAGTACGACACGGACACGTCATCATAATTTATAAATCATACATAAAAATTAAGAAACAATCAAAGCATAATATTTGAAATTACAAAAAAAAATGACAACAGCATCATTTGTAGCCTTGTAGATTATAATATCAAAATATAAGTAAGCATTAAATGTCTAGTACAACAACAAAAGCATAAACATAAATTATCTGGCACATAAAGTTTCAACTATTCAATAGAAGGAATGATATGATTAGCTTCTTCAGTGGTTTGTCTTTGAACTTCTATATCATCTTCAATAAATATCATAGCTTTTAATTCAGGCTCATTAAGTGAAAGATTAGTAATTTCTAATATTCTCATATCATCAAGACACTTAAATCCATCTCGGAAATGAGAGAGCTTTGCTCGCAGCCGCGGAAGTAAATACAGCGTTTGTTTTTCAACGAACACGTGTATCGGATATGGGTGTCCTTTTGAAATTAAATAGTATTTTAATTGGATACGTCTTTGGTGTATCCGACACGTATTAGTGGAGTATCGGAGGCGTATCCGTGTATCGGATACAGCACGCCTTCATAAATAGGTGTATCGGACTATCGGTGCAACATAGCTTTCAACATGGGATTATTTTCTCTTTCATGTGCAACTCAATACTCTCCCGAGAAAAGAGGCCATATTTGCTATCACTCCTCAAATAGTAGTTTTTTCATTACTATCAAGTATCATGCATCAAGAACTTATTCAACCATGTTGAACCTATGTGGGGGTTCCTTGTTGGATATTGCTCAGCTATGATTGAATCCACCAACATCCACGAGAGCAACTAAGCACTTGAACCACTTTATCCCTACTAAACCATCAACTTTGGTTTTTTTTCACTTTTGATGTGGGTTATTTCCATTCTTGCATATATTTTAACAATTATAACCAAAAATCTAGAATTCCAACAATGTGACAAACTTTTTTCTTTCTCAGGTAGCTAGTATTGTGGGGTCCAGCATTCAACCTCTTCACAACCTGGGTGTTTTGGTAAGCTTTTTATTGGGATAAATTTTGATGCTTGTTTGATTTGTTGTTCCCTGATGTAAATGGCTGCGGCGATGATGGAATGCAGAATTATATTGAGGGGAAACTTAATTCTAATGAGAAAGTTGCTTGGGCTCAGTATCACATCAATTATGGCTTTGAAGGTTAGTCTTTACCATAGAACATTATATATTTTCTCCAATGCACGACATGAATCATCTTCATTGTTGAGCATAATCCTGGCTTTTTTTGAAGGAAAAGTATTTTTATCATAAATTGCACTAGATAGTGAATGTACACACAATTAAATGACAGAAACTGACCTGCATCAGCTTTACTGTTCATGGATCAGAGATTTATTTTTCTATGATTACCTATGGAATTATGTGGTTTCCCTTTTTCTTTCTTTGATACCATTAGCAACCATTTTTTTAAACTAATTAATTAATTTATTTATTTTTTTATATAATGACAGATTTGATGTCACAAACAATCCTAAAAGATTTGCCAGTAAATATGTAATTGATTTCCAATGTTGGAGATCCTTAATGAATAGAACATGTGCTAAATTTTTCATTCAAAATTTGGTCATGCTAATGAGGAAACGTTATTCTAGATTTCATATTTTCCAATACTCCCTCTCAAGTTGGAGAGTACATATTTTCCATTTTGTACTTGCTTGTAATTTCTTGAGATCATGGAGTAGATATTTCTTTGATCATGAGAACAAATAGATCTCCCTTGTCTATTAGGAATATTGACATGGCCAACATTCATTTTTTCCGTTTATGAAATTCTATCCACCTTAATAAAGTTGATGTAAAATTTGTCATAACAGTGGAGTATTATAAGTCCTTAGCCATCAAGAATTATCTTCAGTTATAAAAGTTCACATACTCCTTAAACCATGGTTCTAAACTAAGCTTTCGTAGTGGAACATCCTACCCTCTTATTTCGTGCATCTCCATATGACAGGTTTTATTGTGACAAAGATACAATAACCTGTTGTGGATCTTCTATCTATAATAGATCCAACATAATCTTCATTTGTATAAATCTCTAGGCTAAGCTTTTGAGTTTTCTTGAACAAGTTTCATCTTATTGATTTGCTTTGAGATTGTGAAGAATCTTAAGGATAACTTGCAAGTGCTTCTCTATAGAATTATGGATGAATTGATATTGACATAATAAACTATATCCCCTTTAGTGTAGGATAGGTAAAATATTCTCCCATTCAGTCACTGATATCTTCCATTTCTACTTAACTAGCATTCTTTTTATTGACTTTAATATATGACAAGGTTCAATTTGCTTCCTATCAGCCTTATAACCAAGTATTTGCGTCTGTTATATGATCTAACAAATTTTCGTTGAGAAATAAAGATGCCTTCATTGGAAATTACAACTTTGATACCCAAGAAGTATTTAGGCCTTCCAAATTCTTTAATGTCAAAATCTTTGGCTAGGATTTTTCGAGGGAATCTCTTTCAGCTAGGTTATTTTCTATTACAAATATATGATTCATATGTGCACCAACATGAATGTGATTTCCCTTTTTGGTTGAATATTTTTGTATTTTTTCTCACTATCCTTATGTCATAACCTGGTTTAGTGTCTCGAATTAATGAGGTGGGAATAGACGGCTGATGAATATTGAATATTTCTTTAACTAACATCATTAATAACAAATAGTTTTCAAAATATTGAAGTGTCATTAAACTCCAAATTCATTTTAAGAAGAAATACTATGACTATTGCAATTAAATACCTCTGTATTGTAGTGGCACATATACAATACATATTTTCTCTTCTTTCACTCATTTAAATTTCTCAAGATGATATATATACATATGTTAAATGATATGAGTGAGTTATAACACAACTCAATAAGTGTATCATATTTCTAGTTTTTAGTAACAAAAATAAATATTAGAACAATATGCATGTTTATCTTAAGATAATAAAAAAGAACATAAAAAATTCTTTTGACAATTAATTCAATTTAGAAATGATATTACAATAGATTTTGGAGCATTAAGTATTAGTCCTATATAAATTATGTTTTTTTGTAAATATTATATTTGTCACATGAGAAGCCGTTTACTTTTCCAATATATGCTGTGGATATATTACACCTCTAACCAGTATTATAAGGTGGTGTACTCCATCAACCAACATGCACATGTAAGTATTTTTAGAAATCATTTTATTTGTATTCTTTATATCATTTCATATCATTATATTGTAAGCAATATATGACTTATAATATATGCTGAATTATAATAGAAAAAGTCTATGCCATCCAATTCAATATGGCCAATAATATTTATTTGAGATAATTCATAATAAATATGAACAACAACAAGTGGTTGAACATCAATTATAAATGATGCATCATGTTTAGAAGTAATGTCATTACCTTAAACTAGAAACATGAGCATTCACCTCGAATTTAGATGCCGAACTTTTTGCCATTTTGTCCTTATTTTGACTCTTTTATTGAATACCTAAGAGCATTAATGTGGATGGTCATGTTAATTACTACTATATCATGTATATCTCTTACTATTATAATTTGATATCGTTATCTAATGATATTAATCATTTTATTATTTTTTTATCAATGTGCATAAATCATAACTAATGCTTGTAAATTTTTTTAATTAGGTATATATAATTAGTTATTAGTTTATTAATTTATTTTTTAATTTTATTCTTATAAATATATCTTTAAAGAAAGAAGCTCTTGTTGATTAATTTAATGATTACTTATTAGTTTCCATTTAATTGTTTTTTTTTTTATAAATTTAAATTCTCCTCTCTTACACAAACTAATAATCTAAAATTTTGACATAACTTTGCCATCTAATGTTCCTATTTTAGTTCAAATCTACATAAATAATTAATTACGTTGCTCTTTTAAATTTCTTTTAACATAGAATTTACAATTATTTTTAAATAAAATCTCCTAATGTCTGAATATAAATTATTCTTAAAATAATATTTTAATAAAAAGTAATTACATATATTTATCTTAACAATTTTTTTTTTAAAATTGCTCGGGTGCAGCACAAGCCTAAGCATCAATTTGTACCAATTGCTAGCCATCAAAGGCTCAATTATCAACACTAGGTCGTTTAGATTTGATCAACATATATTACCAATTGTGTCCATAGTATCCCAATGAAGCTGAAATGTTTACCAAATTGTCTCAATAAAACCAAATTTAACGAAGATGCTTAAGGAAGTTGGCTTAAAGATGTGATGACTTCAATAATAAATGATCCAAATAAGTTCCAATGAACAGAGAAGATCTTAGCTCACCTCAAGCAAGTTTTGGATGATAACAGATTCCTTATTAGCTTCTCTTTTTACTCGATTTGTGGAATATGGAACTACTCATCGAGGGCAAGAGATTTAACGAGAAAACTTTTAGTTTTAGAAGGTGAGGGATGAGGTTCATATGAAGAAAGAAGGAAGAAAGATAAGTAAAGCAGAGTCGCGGATCGATAGGCTCTCTATTGTTGCCTTTGTTCTCTCTCTCTCTCTCTCTCTCTCTCTCTCTCTCTCTCTCGGTGACCATTGTCTCCCTTTCTCAATTAATTAATCCGCTGGCCTCTCTTGATCTCACTCTCCACTTTTCCCTCTTATCTCTTGCTACTTGGGTCAAAAAAACATTTCATCTTCGTCTCCTTGTGTTGTCAGAATCAATGTAGTTGATCAGTCAAACTGCAGTAGTCAGTTCAAATTTTTTTTAGGATATTACACCTTAATATATTTAGAAAAAAAGCAACCAAGCATGCTCTTAATCTGTTGTTGTTCGCATTGTCCTTCATCAAAAAGGCAATTGAAAATAGTTCATTCATACATATAGGCTTTATGTATTTTTGGGATAGTATATATCATTGTGTTGACGAAGGTGTTGACGTGTGTAGTATCTAGCCAATTTGAGCCTGATCGGGCTCAATCAACGATCGAGCATCATCAAACACAAATTAACCCAAATCCGACCTTAATTTAACCAATTTAACCTTAATTAAGTTCAATTAAAGTCAAATAGATCAAAATTGACCCAAATCGGTCCAAATCGAACCTAAATCAACCTTGTCGAGCCTTGTCTAACTAAATTTGATGCAATTCGCCCCCCATTAGAGTCTAATTTCGCAAGTTGGCTTGATCAAACTTGATCATACCCGAATTGACCCAAATCGATTCAAATTAGGTCCGATTCTAACCCAATTCTAGCCCAATTGAACCAATTCAGGTTCAATTCAATCCCAAATAGGTTAAATTGACTTTTTGGTCATTTCTAATCATTTCTCCAAATCAGAAAATTAGATCTAAGGGCTAGAATTCAAAGATCGACTGCTGTCTTTTCCCTCTGATTTCTACGGCAGAAGATCATGATAGCGCAAAAGATTGCATCGAATGGAGCAGTCCTCATATCCTGTATGGGAAGAGCGGGAGTGAGTATAGGGAGCAGAATCAGATCTCATTTTGGAGGGAGCTATTTTCGTTTGTTTAGGGACGAATGAAACTGAGGCACAAAGAGCTTGGCGAGTGTGGGTCTTCTTCCTGCTCGATTTGTTTGTCCAGCCGAGAACTGCTGAAGGACCAGGAGTTTGGTTGTGCCCCTACATGCGCGAAATTGAGGAAGAGTGAGAGGTGGAGCAAGAGTTGGGGCGAGCTTTTTCCATGCACAAATTTGGGCTCAGCTGTTGATTCGAACGAATTTGACCGACTGTCTTCTTCCATTGGCCTTGTCAAAGCAGCAGTTATTGTTGTCTTCCCAAAATCTGAGGGCAGGAAGTGTTGATACAACCTTGCTTTCCTATAAGAAAGTTCTCCAAGAAAGGTAGAGGGTTCTTCTTCCTCTTTCCTCAACTCTGGCAACTTCTTCACGACGAAATCGACTTCCTGGAACTTTCAAACATGGAGAGAGCAGTCCGTAGCATTTTGGACAACAGATTTCACCTTCCTTTCCTCCGCTTTCTCACCTTTGCAAGGTGAGTGGATAGTGGGCTGCACTATGACTAATTTAGTGAAACCTAGGTCTCTAAGCCTCTTGATGTGTGTTTGATGTTCCAAATGCCTTAGGTTCCTAGAAACCCTATGTTTTCCAAAACCTAAAATAAATCTCTAATTGCTGTCCTCTCCGCAAAAC